AATCCGTAGCTAAGGTCATCTATTGGGTTTATTTTATGTCGATTCCAATATTTTAAAAACTCCCTATGAATAGACTCCCTTGGTTGTTCAGACCACAACCCTAGCCCACTACTACCAAGAAAGTATAAGGAGGGTTGAATGTGCTCCAGAAGAACGTGTATTTTTAGGGTTTCAGAAACACCTGTTGCTTTATAAATAATCTTTAAATGTTTAATATAAACATATCCGACTCTTTTCTAACCTTTCTGGTAGAAAATCAGTCCTCTACTACTTTGTTCATAGCTTTGAAGGCAGAAACAAAAGTAACTATCTGAATGGGACTTACATCCCCAAAAACGTCAAGTGTTCTGCAAGCATTTCCTTCAAATATATCGCCCTGATAATTTTTTGAGGGTTGACCCTCCTCTTTTTGTGGAAGAGACTTACGTTGCTGAGAAGTGTATCATTCCTGAGCTTCAAGGATATGTTAATCATCTTTTTTGAGATGGCTTAGTTCCTATTCTAGGTAAGGAAAGAGCCTTGATTTTGCCTAAGAAACTTATATTGGTTTCAAAAAATTATCAGGGAGATATATTTGAAGAAAATGCTTGCAGAAAACTTCTCAAAGAATCTGACAAACTTCTTGAACTTGACGTTCTTGGGGATGTAAGTCCCATTCAGATAGTTTTCTTGTTTCTGCCTTCAAATATATATATATATATATATATATATATATATATATATATATATATATATATATATATATGTATATATTCAATATTTTTTTGGTAACTTTTAATTGTGTTTTTTATTTAGTTTCAATAAATTTGTAAGTTTATAAAATTGGTGCTGTGTTTTACACTTTTTTCCCAATAAAGAAATGCAACAAGTATAATTGTATAAAGAGGAAGGGAAGGATCAGCTATTTGTTGCATATTGTCAATGATATGATATTGATAATCCTTACTCGAGTACTTAATGGAATCTGAAGTCGTTTTTGGGTGTCATTTTCATGTGACCCATTTTTAGTTGAGGGACACTGTGAATATGTTACAAAAGTTATCTTTAAGGATAAAGATCCCATGGAGACTATAAAGTTTTTGATGAAGAAATCACAAGATGAGAGGATGGTTTGCATAACTGCATTTATTGCATTGAAAACGGCTTGGGAATTTAGAAGAACTAATGAAATAATGTCCTTTTTAATTTGAGTAAAATGAATTAAAAAAAAATATTTGTCTATATTTATGAAATAGTAGTTGTCTGGTATTGTATAACCTTATCCTTTTATTTTGATTAAATACTATTTAAGAAACTAAATGTCCTGGCTAAAATATATTTTTGGAATTTTTATGACATCTTATTAAGTTAAATATAACAGTTTTAATATTTACAATATATAATTAAAATAAAAGAAACTGTCTCCCTTTTTAAAAATAGGAACAACTTTTCTCAGTTTAACCCTGGAGTGGTGGCGCCTCCTGGCAGAACATGAACGGTAGCGCCGTGTCTGACAGGCTCAATTTAAAAAAATATGAATTTCAGTAACTATTATATATGTTTTTCTTTTTAGCTATTGTTTCTCTTATTTGGATATATTTTTATTATATGTAGGTATACATTTTTGAACAAGTTTAATTGTTTTGAAATGAAAAATACCTGAAAATACAAAATGGCTATAATTTACAAATAAAACAAATGTTTGAGACACACATATTTTTTTAAAAATTTTGCAGAAATAACGTGTTATATTGTTGTTTTTGACACCGCTTTCTACCGACTGGTGTTTGTGGGGTATCATCCACAGTATCAGCTCGTGCCACTACATATATATATTAGGGTACTTCAAAAAATTTTTTTTTTCGCTCTTACCCTCTCAAATGTTTTTATTTAATATAAAAAAAATCCTCACCAAATATGGGCGTTCCAGCTCAACTCTAAGAGGTCGCTATTTTTATTTTAGTTTCCCATTGAATTAACATGGGAAAAAATTAATTTATGTTTGGAATTTTATACCTCTGTATCAAAGTAACTTATGGCAATGATCATAGCAGTTTCTTATATAAAATTTAACGCTCTACAAGAAAGGTCTCCTATTATTTTTCGATAAATTGATTTCTTCTAGAGTTATTCGAGGTCAAAGTTTTTCCCCTTTCACCTCCCGTCTGCTAATTGTACCAGAAAATTTAATTAATGCTAACATCCCTAAAATAATGTGCAGGCGCTCCATCTTGTTGGAATACTAGTTCCATATCAAATTCGTCAGGATTAGCTTGAACTATATCTTGACTCAAGATTCTTGAGTCATAACTTCAACTAAAAGATGCCTGTTAAATTTCCTTCCAAAAAGATGAGTCCTAAAATATGGTTTTCCATTTTCCGCCCATACATTGACTTTTTGTGGGTACTGGGTACCTTCACGAAAAACATGTGCATTAACATTTGACTAGTAACGTACACTTAGCCGATTTATACAGTAGGTACCATTTAGGAAAAAAGTTCATACATCACTAATTATTATTATATTATATAAAAATAGTTTACAAAATTGAACTCTGCGATCCGGGTCATCTTCGGTAAGTTGATGTATTTTTTTTTAATTTACGGAACCAACTATTTTTAGTTGTTTGTTGTCTGGGTACCTTTCATTAAATACACTCTCTGCTTGGTGTAAATTACGTCCAACTTCGGCATAAATGGCGGGAACCATTTTCCAACGAAATAAAAAGTAAAATTACAGGCACAACTAATAAATAGTGTTACACTAATAGTCCGGGAGGCAGTGAAGATTTTCGGTACTTATTTTCCCAGTCGGCAAACACCGATACAATTATTGGGTTTGTTATTCTGAGCAAAATTTATATATATTTAGGGGGGGGTTTCCGATGGGTTAAGGCGGAAAATGCGTTATAAAGCACAAATATATTGCACTTTTTTTTCCAGTGATAAAAATAATTCCATTAGTGAGAGATATAGTGAACTTAAGAAAAAAATTAGTCTGGCTAATCTGTGAGTATGGGTAATATGTCTGGCAGGTGGAAAAATTATCAAAACCATTGCCCTTATTTTCGCAGTCCTAAAAATTTTGTGAGATGATAGTTTATATTATAATTACAGCTGCAAATATAGTCTGGCTAATGTGGAACACTCCGAAAGCCTTGCCAGACTCGTCCAACCCTCCACAGGCGCGCTAAATTCGGCATGTTCAATTATACAGGCGATTGTTGTCATCTCTACATGTTTTTACTTTTCATAATGTATGATAAGAAAATAATTTGTGTAAAGCAAAATTTAAATATGGCTAAAAAAAATGTCAGTCCGTCCGCCACCAAAAAACTTTATTCGCGAATAACTTTGTAACTATCAGAGATACGAGAAAATTTGTGCAGTTGTTTTTTGTAGGATTCTCTACAAAATCGATCTCTTGACAGTCTTTTGTATCTCCCTTAGTTTTTGAGTTATATCAATATTCCCATTCAAACGCGAGTTTCTGCGGAACTATACAGGATACGGGAGAACGAGAAATAAAAAAAATTGCGAATTCCTCTCCTCATTTAACTATCTGACTTGTGAGTCTGGCGGGGCTTTCGTGATTGTAAATAACAGCCAGACGTGTATTTTCTTCGAAATTATAGTATTATTTATCATGTGACAAATTTTCAAATCCGGGAAAATAAGAGCAAAATTTTTGTAATTCTTACGATTTTCAAGATGCCGCCAGAACAATTTGCCAATTTCATAAATCAGCCAGACTTAATTTTGATTATAGTTTATGACAGTACCAAATAATGGGTTAAATTTTAAGCATGGGAAAATAAGGGCTACGTATTTCAAAAACCGGTCAAATTTTTGCTTCCGCAAATTTTCAGCCAGACTGACTTTCCTTCACTTGGGATGTGCCAGACTGTTATTTCCATTAATAAAATGACTCACTTTAATTAATGTGAAATATTTATGACTGGGAAAATAAGTGGACTTGACTTTTTGGCTCATCTAGTGAACCCATCCGAAAATTTTAGCCAGACACACAAATTGTCGTTTTGTGTCACCATTTGAACAAACTTAATGACATTCACAAACTGGGAAAATAAGAAGATAAAAATCTTCACTGCCTCCCGGACTATAAAGGGTACAATTATTTTAAAACTAGACTGGTACGTTTTTTTACAAAATACAAAAAACAAAACAAAACAAAAAAGTGTCAAAAATATTGTAAAACTACTTTAATTTTAAGGTCCAAATGTTAATAATTTTATTTTTTTAGTGGAATGTATAACTTTTATTATTGATTTTCAATACTAAGGTATGGGACTAAACTAAACAAGTTTCTGAAATAAAGTTTTCAATTAAAGGAGAAAGAATAGGCTATACAAAACTAAACAATTATTATACGGGTAAATACTTTATTTATTTCACACACTTAAAAGGGAAATTATTTCATTAGTTCTTCTAAATTCCCAATGCAATAAATGCAGTTATGCCAACCATCCACATTCATCCACGAACTTGATTCTGTATAGTGTCCATAGGATCTACATTCTCAAAAATTGCGACCTTAACAAATTTCTGTACCCACTTAGAATGTCCTATATGCGCTTTTGCACATTCTTTAAGTTTTTCATCGACTTTATTAGCATCGAGTGTATAGCTGCTGTTAAAGCAAATAGGTTTTAACTAAGCAATGCAAATTACCCTTAAGAGTTGTTTTATGGAGCCCTTGTATACCTTAAAAAACCTATTTTTCTACTTGTATAACCATACTTTCTACTTTTAATAATTATCTGCTACTGCACCCACCCCCTATGTATTCATGTATAAATCAGAATTTATGGCCGGCACAAAGACGCGTTATTTATTAACATTATTTTGTGGGGCTGTGTTAATTATGTCTAGCAATTAAACAGAACAATAATCGTCAACTCGTTATTTATAATTTTAAGAAAATATTCCAACCTCATTAAAATTTTTATAATACTTGATTATTGATAAAATATTATAATATAAATATAAAAGCGAAACTTCTTGGTGAAACACTATAAATTTAATATTAAAATGAATAAGTTAACAAAATATTTGTATTTGGCTTTGGTCGCTTTGATATTATTTGGTAAGTAAAAAGTATGTAATAATAACAAAATTTTATAAGAACTTTCTTTTTTTAAACTTTTGTACAATGCAAATCAAAAGGACTTCAGAAAATAAAAAGTTTGCCACCCTACATTCAAAAAAATGTAATTACAAAATTATTATTAATTATTATTTAATAATTTAAGCAAAATTACGTCAAAATCGGAGAGTTTTTTAAAGCAATGTAAAATGTAATTTTCCATAATACAAGACAATTGTAAAAAACGATTTTTTTAGCAGTTTTGATCATCTTTAATTTTAAAAGTTCTCTAAATGTGATTTTATATTTTAGATTTTGTTCATTCTTATGATTCGGATGAGGAAAAAAAGTAAGACCAGATAGTTTAAGAACAATTTTTTATAAACATTTTTTTATAGTGAATTTGTAAAAATGGTTGAAAAGTTGCGCAAACATAACGAAGACAAAAAACTCGATGCTAATAAAGTCGATGAAAAACTTATAGAATGTGCAAAAGCGCATATAGGACATTCTACGTGGGTAAAGATATATGTTAAGTACGCAATTTTTGAGAATGTAGATCCTATGGACACTATACAGTATTTAATGAAGGAATCAAGTTCGTGGATGAATGTGGATGGTTGGCATAACTGCATTTATTGCATTGCAAACGGTTTGGGAATTTATAAGAACTAATTTCCATTTTAAGTGTGTGAAATAAATAAAGTATTTACCGGTATAATATTTGTTTAGTTTTGTGTAGCCTATTTTTTCTCCTTTAATTGAATACTTTATTTCAGAAACTTGTTTAGTTTAGTCCCATACCTTAGTATTGAAAATCAATAATAAAAGTTATACATTCCACAAAAGAAACAAAATTATTAACATTTGGAACTTAAAATTAAAGTAGTTTTACAATATTTTTTGACACTTTTTTGTTTTGTTTTGTTTTGTAAAAAAACGTACCAGTCTAGTTTTAAGGCGGTTTATAAAATAATTTTATTATATAATAATAATATTATTTCGTTGAAAAATGGTTCGCGCCATTTATGCCGAAGTTGGACGTAACCAAGCAGAGAGTGTATTTAATGAAAGGTACCCAGACAACAAACAACTAGAAATAGTTGGTTCCGTAAATTAAAAAAAATACATGAACTTACCGAAGATGACCCGGATCGCAGAGTTCAAATTTGTGAACTATTTTTATATGATACAAAATCCTCTGTACTTGTAATAAATTCGTTTTAGTGATGAATGCACTTTTTTCCTAAATGGTCCTGAAAATCGACAAAATGAAAGTTACTTGCCACATGTTTTTCGTGAAGGTCATACCCAGTACCCACAAAAAGTCAATGTATGGGCGGAAAACTGGAAAACCATATTTTAGGACTCATCTTTTTGGGAGGAAATTTAACAGGCATCTTTTAGTTAAAGTCATCCAATGACACAAGATATAGTTCAATGAATTTGACATGGAAGTAATATTCCAACAATATGGAGCGCCCGCATATTATTTTAGGTATGTTAAAAAGTGGCTTGATGAGACTTATCCAAATAGACGGATTGGTAGGCGTGGTCCTACCGAATGGCCGGCTAGGTCTCCTGATTTAACGCCACTTGATTGTTTTTGAACCGAAATCAATTGATCATCCAAAACAACTAAATGTGCAAATATTACACAGTGCAAATATGAGAAATGAAATTGGAAAAAGATTCTTTTTGTTTCAAAATGTCCAAGGGGAGCATTTCGAACATCTAATTTGATAAATAATTGAAAATGTATTGTACTTAATAAATGAAACATTTGATTTGATAATTTATTTTATTTAAACGTTTATATGGTATTTTTTAAAAAGTTTATTCAGAAAATTATAAAATAACATGTTATTTTCTAACCCCAAAAAACATCGTTTTCGCCTATCTTTGCATTGTAAAATATGTAAAAAAAACGTTTTATTTTGATTTTGACCAGAATATTATTTTTCCCGAAATTTATAACACCCTGTGGGTGGGGTGCATCAATTAGCTTTATACTGCAGCCCTATTTTATTTTTTTATGCGCATTATTTTTTCTGTTATTAACGAAGATACACTGTTTTAAAGCAAATACACCGGATAAAGTGGAAAATAAGCTGAAACGGATGTAAGTAATTTCGAAATAAGCAAGTAAAAGTCAAATAAAAAAAATACCCTTATACCCTTATCTGTGACGAATATTTCTTGTATTAATTCAAGATGGTTAAAGTCAGGAATATTTCAAAAGAGCCGTTGTTTCTTCAGGATCAGATTTTGACTTGAAGCTGTACAGGTACAGGTTGAACCAATTAAAAAACAAAATTAGTAAGTATATATAGATGTTAAATATATTACCTATTAAGGCCATGAAAGACGTTATTATAAGACTATTAAGTAAATAGTGTTAACAATACTCTTTAATTATCGGATCAAAGAGGAAATATATCCCAATTGCTTTAAACTATTTTTTAAAAGGGAGAGAGTCTGCAAAATGGCAAAATCTTTTTGAATGGAATAAAAATATTTAATACCTATTGTAAATATTAAAATTGTTATATTTAACTTCATAAGATGACTTAAAAATTCCAAAAATTTATATTAGCCAGGACATTTATTTTCTTGTTAAAAAAAATTAAAACGCAATTAAATAAATATAGGAAAAAAAGTAAGTATGTTTTGGTCTTATTTAAGGGCCGTATGCAGAAATGTTGATTTATTTATATCAACTGATTTAAGCATATCCACTGATTTAAGTTTGAACCAATTTGGCAAATTTTAAATGACAGTAAAGCACAGTTAAGATTTGTAGTTTATCTTACATACCTATACTTAATATGTATTTATTAGAGTCATACATTTTTAAAATGTATTATTAAATATACATATAAATACATTTATAACTGACTAAACCTTATTATTGACAAAAACTTGGTTTTGAAGAGGATTGCGGCAATATAAAACACAACAATTGGGTTATGTTCGCAGTTTGCAATATGTTTTATACAAGTAATAATAAATAATAATAATAAATAAGTACCTACCTAAATTTGCATTAGGGTAAGGTATGAAAAAGGAAAATTACGGCTTAAAGCCTCTGAAAAGAACAAAGAAATTTTGTTGAAGTTGGTGAAAATTTTATTCAAGTGTTTATTCTTGTAAAAGATTAATTGCCTAATTATATTATAATTATAATAATTATATTATAGTTATGGGAATACTAGACCTGTTTCTAAAAGGCAATAATAATAATAATAATCGTCTTTATAGAAAGTTAAATTTTTTACAATAATATTAAAATAAAATAAAATATATTGTAAGTAAGTGGCACACACGGCGAAGTTTAGTCTAAGGCTACTCTTAAGGCTACACTTAACCGTGTGTGCTCTTTTTCCTATTATTTTACAGGTACCAATAGGTAACACCTTTTTAGGCATTTCGGCAAATGTTTTGAAAAACAAATGCAATGATGCCGAAGACATCGAGATGGAAAAAAGACATTTTAAATTTGTGACAATATAAAAAAATTAAGAAACAAACTTTAGAGGATAACATATGTTAGTTAATATATAGTTCATATACATAAATTATGGCTTCAGAATAAACTTTTTTAATCAAAAGGACGGAGCCATACTCAAAAATTGCATGTCCAGAAAAATTGTGCTAGAAAATGGGTGGGAGGTGGAGTCTCGAAACTTGTTGTAGCATGTTTACCCTTGCCTGCCCCACTGAACAAAATCCTGGCTACACCCTTGCTGGAAATGGGGCAAGAATCCCTGCTTTTCTAAAAGGTTAAATTAAACCCAATGAAATAAATTCGGCATGCCTTATACACTTTGTTTTTTAAATAATTTATATTGAAAAATATAGGTTCATGTGCACAAATTTTAAAAACCGTTACTTTTGTAAAGCAAATTTTAAAATTTAATTGTGAAGTTCCAGCCCAGATTTTTTTACCCTGTGTATTTTTTTTTAAATAAATATAATTAACTACCGGATGTATTTTTTATTTTCCTATAAAATGCCTTTTAAACTTGTATCATAGGCAAAAACGGTTAATAATATTATAATATGTATCTGCAATTTCAAATACCCATGTTGCCCTTTTGTCCCTCCATTTCATTTTCTTTTATGTTTAATAGTAGATTTCTGGGCCCAAAAATAAATAGAGTGTAAATTTTCTCTCAGAAAAAAGTCCCCTCTAACTTGTTGAGCCCTTTACACAAAACCTACTGTTTCTATTTCTAAGATCAAGCCTATAATTTAAAAATTTAAAATCAGAAGTTGAACATGGTCTAAAATTTAAAAAATAAGACAAATATTTTTTAAACACAATTTTGGTTTTATTTTATAATCTTTATTAATTATTAAATAGTTTTTTTTTAATTATCTATAATATAATACGTATAATTATATTCAAAAAGTAAACATTTATGTTTTTAATTTAAAAAAATAAATCAAAAATATTTTCACCAAGTTCAATGTTAGGGGTAATTATTTTACAAATATAGTAAACCATGACTTATATTAGCGAAACTATTTTCTATGGTTAAAAGCAAATGTCACAAATGTCAAATAAATCTTGATGAAATTTTAATTGTTTTATGTCTAATTTAAAATGTAAATGTATAGAAATCGACTTTTTTATGGAAAATATAAACGTTGAAAAATAATTACCTAATTTATTTTATAAAACAACAACAGTTTTTAAAGAAAAATACTGCGTTGCCATGTCGTGCAAAAACCCATACGCTAAAGAAGTATCGCAGTAGCGCCAGGTGGCTGTTATCATCGTAACAAAAGTAGAACTTTTAATAATCTGCTGTTAAACGTTTAGGTTACAAACGAGTGTTTTTGAGAATAAAGCCGGATAATGTTAAAAAATATCGAAAAAAAATCGATTTGTTGTGTTCTTGGGTGCATTTCGAGAGGAAATCTTGGGTTGAGTTTTTACCGGTTTTCCAATAAACAGTGTTAATCTGAATGAAGAAATAAATTGCATACAGTCTCTTTAAATATAAATTGTACCTATTAAATACAATAAATACACATTTTAGTAGTGATTAACGTGAAAAGTGTAAACATTTCAATTTATTAAAAATCGTCAAACAAATACTTAAGTCGTCTAAATTTAAACAGCATTTAGCATTATTAAAAGCGATGATTAAGAATTGTTTAAAGTCTCCACTCAATGGTAAAATACCATTATATTATGTATATTATGTATTATATATATAATATTATGTTGCCATGAATTCGTAGGTACATTTTGTTGTTTAAAATGCAGTTGTCGGCGTTTTTTAGAGAACTCAAATATAAAAATTATTGATTTTGAGGTTATGTTATGCAAACATTATTTTTTACTAATTTCTTAAAAATGTCCAAACTTATAACTTTACCTAATATAAATTATATTAGGAAAAGTTATCATTAGTTAATTCTGCACCAACAAATGGACTTACCGAATTGGATCCTTTAGCAAAACATGAAAATGCAACGATTTAGTTCTTGAATTTTATATACAATTAAAAACACAATAATTTACCATGATCCCTTTGATACAATACACACACTAACGTAACTATATAAGCATTTAAGCGTTGAGTTTCTTGATCAATGATATAAGGAATAATCAATCGAAATCGAGTAATAAAAAAGTTTTTTTATTTTTTTCTTGCAACGTAAAACACAAATAACGTGCGCGATTTAGCT